CACACACACACACACACACACACACACACACACACACACACACACACGACATAAATCATTTGCACAGAAGTCACCTGCTTCTCTGCTGGGCCTCCGCCTCACAGCTGCCTCAGCCTGACAGCAACTGAGGCCCCGCGCCTGCGCACTCGCCTTCCGGACCCGCGGGGGTCCCCTCCGGGCAGCTCGCCTCCGCCCGGAGAGCAACACGTAGGCCAGTGAGGCTCCGCCCCCGGGCTTCCCCAGGAGCGCGGAGCCACGCCCCTGGCGCGCCGAGGGGTGAACGTAGCGCGGAGACAGCGCAGGCCACAGTCCTCACTAATCTGCACAGCGCGCGCGGACGCCTTGGACACCTGGACAGTGGGCTTCCACGCGCCTCGCGCCGCGCGCAATCGCGAGCTTTCACCTCCAGCCTCCGCGACTGGAAAGGGACTGTGGATGGCCACGCCCAGAACCTGAAGGAAGGGCCTTTCCGCCCTCGTTGTCGCCTGTCTGGAGACCCTGAGAGGAGAGGACAGGTTTTCTTCTGTGGCCGTTCAGAAAGCCAGGGGAAAGATGATGGACACGTGGGAAAGAACAGGAGCGGTCCACCTTGGAGTCTGATTGAAGCCCCTCTTTAGCTGGCCAGCGGGAATTCTCGCGCAATTCAACACTGCTTAATTAAGGTCTTGCTCCCTCCCAAGCTGTCAACCTGAAATTTCCTAGGAATCTCAGAAATCTCACTTAAAAGGGAAAGGCCTGTCCTTGAGCAACCCTAATGATATCAAATTATTACCTTGTGAAATTATAACTCCAAGCACTTCCGGAGCAATCTCACATCTCACCTAGGAGCGAAAGGGGGTGGGGTTAAGACTTAAAAGGCTGAGTGAAGGACAAGGAATGACTCACACAACAATCACCAGGATAAGGACAGACTTGACACCAAACACCATCTCTTAGCAGTGCTGTGTGCACAGGAGAAAGCAAGGCAGCTGCACCAAGCTGAGTGTGAACACACCAAGTGTCCAGAGGAAGAAAGAAAGTGATTTCTTTAGATCCTCAGTCAAGGCAGTGATGAGCATCAGCCGTGACATCTGAGCAGTCACTGTATGAGGAGCACCGTTCTTAAGGTCTTGTAGTTCTCTCAACACTACTGAGCAAAGACTACAATTTCATTTCAAAGGTGGAAAACGGAGGCTCTATGTTTACCTGAGGCCCCAGAACTAGAAAGTGGGGTCACAGAGCTTAACTTCTACACATCATTTCTCTAAAGGGGAAACCAAGAGAGAGTGAAAGGGCCACAACCCAAGAATGGGGGTACAGAGTGGAATGACCCAAAGATGAAGTGCAGTTCAGATTCTCACAACCCTTTCCAAGTCTGTCCATCTCTTCAGGAGGAACTATGATGTCACCAGCGAATGAGACAGGCCATTATCTTGGAGACCGGAGAGGTGAGGAGGGGACACAAAAGATTGTATTCACTTCCCAATGAATGAAAGAAAAAGGAAAGGACATGGCTGTTCCTAGGTACAATAGAGGAGAAGGGTTATTGTAGATAAAAGGGAGACATAGTCAGAGTCAGGGACATCGGAGAGAGTCCAGAATGAACATGACCTTAAGCCATGTGAGGAGAGGGAGAAGGGAAGAGAGGAGGGCCAGACCAGGAAAGCAGAAGGATACAGAGAGTAGGTGAAAGGACCCAGTAACCAAAATGGTTGGATTCTATAAGGAAGGACATCTGGGGAAAGGGCAGCCCAGCCCCTGGCCTGGAAAAGTTTAAGGTAGGGGGCGGGGTAAGCCAGGAAGACCTTGTAATAAGTAGGGACTGAAAGATGCTGGGAGAACATTGTGGCCAGCTCCACTTTGCTATCTTAAGGGCACCTCAGCCCTTGTCCTGGGTTTGAAACTTAACACTCAGGAGACCCCTTGGACCCTCGGGAACATACCTAATATGCCTTGTATGCTCAAAGCTGCAACACTGCCCAGCTGACCCAGACTTTAAGGACCCAAGAGAAATAAGGAGAGGGAACGTTTCAATGAACTTGTTCCCTTCTGAAATGTGTCCTTCTGCCTATCTGTAGAAGTATACAAGGGTGGGAGAGGAGTCTGGGGAGAAGGCCGGGGGCGCGGTAAAGAGTAACACCATGAAAAAAATGTATGAAAAATGGCATAAATAAACTTAGAATGTGTATACTAATTAGAAGAAGGAGGAGGAGGAGGAGGAGGAGGAGGAGGAGGAGGAGGAGGAGAAGAAGAAGAAATGAAAAAGAAAAAGGAAGCTAACAAATAGCCTCTCCACCAATCGGAATCCTGCTTCTGCCAGACGCACTGTCTTTCTCCTACTCCCACTCCCAACACCCTTCCCGAGGGCTAGCATTTCGCCGTTTCCAAGGCAACCCAACTTGTAGGCTTGGTGCGGCCCAGCGATCTCTGGGATTGTAGTGTCAAAGAATCATACAGGCGGGAGGTCTGCTTGTCAGTAAAACAGAGTTTGTTAGCAGAAGCGTCTGAATCAAGAAATGATTTGGGAGATTAAAAACACCTTCCAGATATTCTTGGGGTGTAATTTGTTAGGAAAGAGGAAACAGAGGGAAAGGCTGGGCGTGCAGGTTTGTGGGAGTTGTAGTTTTGCATTCTGTTGAGGCGCAGGACGTCATAAGACAGCGCCGCCTAACGGCAGATGTGAACAGGCCCTGGGCTTGGCCCAAGTTGAACCAGAATCCTACAAGGATTCTCATGACCTTCATACAGGCCCTGGGCAGCATGGCGGGGTGAGGTGGGAAAGCATTTGTGCAACAATCTGTACATGTAAACCCTCACGTTGGGCCTGGCTGCCTGCTTTATAGTAAGTGAGCAGAGTGCACCAGTATGTTGCACTCACTTTTTTTCTCCTTCAGATATGACTCTTAAGGCAAACTGGGACACTGCCTTATCTAATGAGCACCCTTGTTCCTCTCATCTAAGCGGTAACTTAACAAGTGATGCACACTTATTAAGAGTCCAGTTAGTGTGGTTGCCAAGGATACAGTTCTTCGTAGAACCGGTATAGAGCCTTGACCCCTTTCTTCTTTTTTTTAAATTTTATTTTTTTATTTTATATGTGTGTTTTGCCTTCACAAATTTAAGTACACCATATTGTGCAGACCCAGCAGAGCAAAAGAGGGTGTTAGATCCTCTAGAACTAGAGTTACTGACAGCCATTTGGATGCTGGGAATTGAAGTGTTCTTAACTGCTGAGCCATCTCTCCATCCTCTTGTTTTTGTTTTGAGACAAATTCCCATGCATTCCAGGCTGGCCTGGAACTCACTCTGTAGTCAAGAATGGTCTTCAACTCTTGATTCTCCTGCATCCACCTTGATACTATCTAGGGGTACAGGAATATGGGTTCATTTTCTCTGCCAATTAAAGAATTAAAAGACAGTAAATAAACACACGCCTTTAATCCCAGCACTTGGGAGGCAGAGGCAAGCAGATCTCTGAATTCTAGGCCAGCCTGGTCTACAGAGTGAGTTCCAGCACAGCAGTGCTACACAGAGAAACCCTGCCTTGAAAAACAAAAACAAAAGACAGGAAATAAGTGCTAACAGAAATCATAGGGAGTCCCCGCAGAGACATCATATGATACAGGAGGAGGGGGAAGTCAGGGTCCATCTTGGGGTTATTAGTCTCATTAATAGCATAAGCTAAGAAGGGCCAAAGATAGAAGCTCAAGTGTGAAATGTTGATGCAAGTGGAAGCTTCAGGACCATTTATTACAGTTTAGAAGGAAAACCCCAGGACAGGCAAGCTGGAAGGGAGGCAGAGAATGAAGAATGAAAGGATGAAAGCCATGCTGCTGTAATACAGGAGAGAGAAGCTTTAGAAAGAGATTAAGGACGCCCAAAGTGTCAGGGAGTCTAAAAGTACACTCAGGCTTCGGCCAACACCTGAAAGCAAAAGGAGAGAGATTGACCTTTCTGCTCTTGAATTGTATTTGGGACCAGCAAGACAGATTAGTGGATAAAGATGCTGCTGCTAAGACACACAGGGTCACAATGTGCTCACTCAATACACACCGAATCAAAATGTAATGAATTTTTTATTTGAAAATTATAGATGATTCCTAGCATCTCCTCCACCCCTTGTTAACTTGCTGTGTTTCCTTGAATGGAAGAAACACTTAGCCAATACACTAGTGTACATTTAATTAGAGAAATGGCAAAGCAAGGCTGAAAATGGTCCAGAAGAGAAGGTGTTGGGGAAACCCCTGCAGAGGCTCACTCAGCTGCTCTCCTGGCCCTCTCACGGCATGGTCCTCAGAGAGGCTTTCTGCGGGCCTCCTGGATTGACAGGCCCGAGGAGGAAGAGCTTCCTCTGGAGATGAAATGCATGGAAGGGCACATCAAGGCTGAGTGAGATGGAGCGGGTTTACTAGAAAGAACAGCAGGGGTCGTCTCTAAAGAAGAAGTGAAAGGAGGAGAAACACAGTTGGACACTTATTTACATCTTCATATATTCTCAGACCCCTCGCCTCATAGCACCCCAACCACCCAATAGGACTCTATTCGAGACCCCCGAGCCTTCATGTTATCTCCATCTGGCACCACACTCCTCCCCAAAGGCACCTGCTGTCGTCACCTCCCTCAGAACTCATGGCGATTGGCTCCCACTATGGCCTTCAACTGTGTACCTCTGTTGCCTACCCCAACCCTGAGTGCTGAAACTAAAGTCGTCCACCACCACCACCCGTATGTTAAAAACTATTTTAAAGTATTTACTTTTGTTTTACGTGTGTATTTGTCCATGTGCATATTAAGTGCACCACATGCATGCAGAGTCCATGGAGGCGAGAAGAGGGTGTCAGGTCTCCTGGATCAGATGGTTGTGAGCCACTGTGTGAGTGCTGCTGAGCCATCTCTCTTGCCCTTATTTTATTTTTAATTATGCTTATGTGGGGGGAGGGTGGGCATGTCCCTTGCAGGCCAGGTACCTGCAGGTACCCTTGCAGGCCAGAAAAGGGAATTTGGTCCCTGTAGCTGGAGTTAGTTACAGGCAGGGCAAGTGCCACAGTGTGGTTGCTAGGAATTGAATTTGGGTCCTCTGCAAGACCCTAACTCTGAACCGTCTCCCTAGCTCTCTTCTTTAACAACAAAACGAAGCAAAAACTCCACTTAGAATTACATTTTAATTTACATATCGTGCAAAGGAGGGGGAATACACACGTCATTTCTCCTGCAGTAAAGAATAAACTTGGGACCTTCTGTGCACTTCTGTGACTCCAATTTTGAGCTTCCAAACCCTACCTTGGACATTAGGTATCTAAAACCAGCTTCCTGGACACAGCCAGATGGCTCCACAGGTTAAGACTGAAAACTAAGTTCTGTCCTTGAGCCCCATGTGGTAGAAGGGAGGGAATTGTCCCTCAAACTGTCCTATAACCTCCCTATGTGTGCCATGGCACAAATACACAGACACACGCTCATGCACACAAACCCAAATAATAATAACAAAATGTAATTAAAGAAGTCTAAAGGTTCCAGGACAGCCAGGGCTACACAATGAAACCTTGTCTCAAAAACAAAACCAACCAACCAAACAAGAACTTTAAAGCTAAACTTTAAACTTGACCCTTGGCAAAAGGTGAAATCCTCTTCACTGCCATGCAGTACCTCAAATCCAGGTCTGGGTTACAATAGTGGCAGTAACACTGGGGAAGACCACAGTGATGACAAAGTGAACATGAAACAAAGAAAAACAAAATTACAAAACAGAACAAAACAAAAACAAAATAGCCAACAACCTTTCTTCCCACCTCCTTCCTCCTTCCCTTTTGGGGTATTGGTGATTGGTCAGCCTATCTGTGTTTCTGAGTTCTGCCTCAGCTTCCAGCCTGTTCACTTTTCATATGTCCTGCCACCTCCCACTCAGTGTTTCTAACCCAAATGCTGATGACCTTTTGACCTGGGTCACTTTCACTGCATGTGGAACAGGAAGGTTGTCTCTGACTAAATTTTATGGGCACCTTCAGGTCAGAAAATAAAATAAAAAGTCTCCAGACACTGTTCAGAGTCGTGTGGAAGACCCAGGAGAGAACCAGAGCTTCCAGATCAACATCTGGGTTCCCTATTTCCCTCAGTCCTCAAACCCAATCCGTGAGCAGCATTTGGGTAAAGAGTATAACCCAGCCATTCTCAACCTGTTGGTCACGACATCCCTGGATCCCCTAAGTCCATTGGAAAACACAGATGTTTACATTATCATTTATAACAGTGGCAAACTTACAGTTATAAAGTAGCAACAAAAATTATTTTATGGTTGGGGGGATCACCACAGCATGAGGAGCTGTCTTAAAGTGTTGCAGCATTACGGTGGTTGAGAACCACTGGTCTAGCAGATCTAGCAGGATTTTCCTTATGTCTGCAGCCACGCATGGCCCCTGGCCTGACCCGTGCCTGTCTCTCTGCTTCCCACTAAAAATTCACTCCACACTCAGTGTCCTGAGCAGGTTTCATTTCTCAATTCTGATGGGCTGGGTGTGTGGCTCAGCTGGTGGAGTGCTAGCTTGGCATGCATGAAGCCCTGGGTCAATCCAAGCATCCCCTAAACTAGATGAGGCAGTTCCTGCCCATAACACCAGCACTTAGGAGGAGGAAGCCAGCAGAACTTCATCCTGGTCATCCAAGGTCATCCTGGCATACAATAGAGCCCCTGTCCTTGAGTCAGCAAGAAGATTCAACAGGCAGAGATGGGGGGACTTGGTCCTTAAGTCTCCCCTGAGTGAGATGTAGAGATGGCTCAGCGGTTAAGAGCACTGTCTGCTTTTTCAGAGGTCCTTAGTTCGACTCCTAGCAACCACATGGTGGCTATACAATGGGGTCTGATGCCCTCTACTAACTTTCAGATGTACATGCAGACAGAGCATTCATATAAATAAATAAATCTGTAGGCAGATGTGATGTCACATGCCTTTAATCTCAGCACTCTGGGAAGCAGAGACAGGTGGATCTCTGTGAGTTTGTGGCCAACCTGGTCTACACAACAGTCAAGGGTACACAGAGAAACTCTATCTCAAAAAACCAAAGAGTCTTCAGAGAGAGAGAGAAAGAGAGAGAGAGAGAGAGAGAACGACAAAGTGGCATTTCACAGGAAACAGAGTTCTTAGTGAGTGACGTGGCTCTTTAAGAAAAGCAGTTTGTGGCCAAGCCCAATTTGAGCTCAGTCTCTGAGACTGAACGATGTCAGTCAACTGAAGTAGTAAAGCCAGTGCTATAGCAGATTTACTCAAAGGCTTGTTAGGTTACACAGTAGAATTTAGCTGATGGAGCATGGTGGGAGAGATAGGCAGTGTACTCACCAGGTTGGTACACAGATCTCACTCTGTGCCATATTTAAAGCTTAGGGTTGTTGAGAACGTTTGCTAATGTTTGTTAACCAGGATTGACCTCCAATTAGGCTCCATTCTCATAACAAAAGGAGACAGCCCAGACTTACAAACAGCCCCCACATTAAAGAATATGATATGGGCAGGCAGGGTCACTACCATCTTTAAGTCCTGGTCTGCCTTAAGATCTCTGCTCTTATCAGTAAAAACTTAATTCTGGCAAGTGGGTAACAACCACTCGAAGAAATCAACACTAATATATTTAAGAAACAATTCTGGCAATATCCTGGCTGTGTAAATCTCTCATCTGCCTAAGTGGCCAGACTTGCAATCTCCAGTCTCTGTTTAAATTGTTCAAAGTGTACCCTATGTCTGGTACAATGTGAAATGCATACACCTAAGGTGTATATAAGTTAGTAAAAATCTCTTATTCATGGCCAGGTCCTCTTTGGGCATTAGCTAGACTTGTACATGTATTATTCAAATTTTTTTCAAATTATTCAAATTCAAATAAATTATTCAAATTTCCTTTATTAATAAAAGAAGTGTGCTAGTGATTTCTCACTGGGGGAGGCATATTAATTCTAAAACAGTAGGAGGAGAGAACTGATTTCCTAAAGCTGTCCGATGACCTCCACGTGATTGTGTACATACACACACAAGTAAAAAGTGAGAAGAAAGGAAGGAGGCCACGGTCTTCCCTCCTACCTTCCCCTGCTCAGCTCTGTGTAGACTCCTGCCTCCTGTGATGCCTTTTCCTTCTCTCCCTTTCCACCCCATCCCTCTCTCTCTTCACCTTCCTCCCTCCATTGGTAGAGAGCATCCTTCTTACCCAATCTCCCTTATTGTAGGACACGAAGAGGAAGGTCACCATCATATAGGCACACCTCCAAAAGCTCCATCCACTGCTCCTCATAAGCGCCCTGGCCGTGGTGGTGGCTGGAGAAGACTTCACTAAAGGCAAATGCCGAGAAGGACAGATAATACTGAAGCCCCTGCCCCTTTGGCACTCCAAACTTGTGCCTCTGTTGTCTCCTGGGTTAGAATTATTTACACTCGACACTGTAGCCATATTCCCCCATGTGGGTCATTTCTCCCAGGTGAATTATTTGTCCTTTTGCACTGAGTCTAACCTGTACACCGGAAAAACCCTCTTAGCACGCCACCTGTCACTCTGTGGGAACCTCACCAGTTTCTCTCTGTATTTGTTGTATTGTTGTGGAGTCAGTTTTGTTCCCCAACCTTTACATGGTTCTGATTGACTATAGCTCATCAAACTGCTCCAAAGACACATTTACCCATGGAACCATCTTGCGGGACCTGTTCTCCTTCATATTGGGGCTCCATGGAGTTCTCATAATCTCCTAAAACTCATTGCTTGGTGGTTCTTTTAGTCAACACACAACTCCCAGGGGTTGGTTCTCCTCTACTCAGGATCAAATTCAAATCCTCAGGCTTGGAAGCAAGTACCTTTTCCTTCTCGGCTAACTCAGCAACCCAGGAACTTACCTCTTAACTGCAGCTGCATATTCTCAGTTCCAGACTTTCAATGCTTGTTATAAATCATAATTCCTTGGTGACATTGCTGATAGCTCTAGCCTCCAACTGGCTATGTAGCATTGGCTAACCTTGAACTTTTCTCTACCTCTTAATCAGAAGTTCTCAACCTGTAGGATTCCCTTCGGGAATCAAATGACCCATTCACAGGGACCCCCAAAGACCATCAGAAAACACAGATACTTATATTATGAACCATAACAGTAGCAAAATTACAGTTATAAAGTAGCGACAAAATGATTTTATGGTTGCGGATCACTACAGCATGAGGAACTGTATTAAAGGGTCACAGCATTAGGAAGGCTGAGAACCACAGGTCTAAAGGATCCATGACTAGTGGTTTGTTGTTATTATTGTTCATTTTTTGTTTCATTTTTGAGATAAAGTTGCACTATCCTAAGCTGGCCTCTAATTGGCTACTCAGTCCAATCCAGCCTGTAACCTAAGATTCTTGTGCCTCTGTGTCCCTACTGACATCTGACCATGATATCCAGCTATCCTACCACTTTTTTCTGACATTAGTTCTCTGTTTTGTGGGTGTTTGTTGTTGTTGTTGTTGTTTCTTTTTGTTACTGTTGTTTGTTTTTTGTTTTGTTTTAGTTTTCTGCTTTGTGGGGTTTTTGTTTGTTTTTTGGGCTTTTTGTTTGTTTGTTTTGTGTTTTTGTTTTTTGAGACAGGGTTTCTCTGTGTAGCCTTGGCTGTTGTGGACTTTGTAGACCAGGCTGGTGTCGAACTCACAGTGATCCACGTGCACTTGCCTCCCTGAAAGCTGGGATTAAAGATGTGTGCCAGCACACCTGGTTGAAGAGGGGTTCTCATGAGTTCCAAGTAGGCCTTGGACCTTCCTAAGCTGCCTTCCTTGGCCTTGAACTTGTGATCTTCCTGAGCAGTGGGATTTCAGTCAGTTCGAGCCAAGGCACCCATAGGGACACACACCCATTGTGTGGCCTAGGAGCAGGTCCAGGCCTGTGTGCCTACTAGGTTAGCTACAGGGTTCTAGCCCACAGCTTAATCCAAGGTCCTTTACCACAAGCTCTCCACCATCTCCTCCACCCCTGACACTTGCTTCTGTTTCTTGACACACACACCTGTCACTCAACTTACCCAGTCATTTTCAGAGGTGGGGGAAGGGAGGTTTCGGAGGTCTGCAGAAGCAGAACGCCACTTCTTACCTCAGTGTGTCAGGCACCTCGACACAGAGGAACAGAGCAGAAGGGAGAGGGTGGCTGAGGGCTATGGATGCTCCAGAAGACTCGGACGCTGACTCATCTGAACTCTGAACTTTTCTCAGGTACTACATTATACCTCACTCAGAGGGAAGGTGCTAATGGCCCACAGGAGGATCAAGCACTCAGCCCCACCCACCTTCTTCTTTGCAGTTGCTTGTTTCTTCTAAGAAGGAAAAACATGGAGACAGTAGAGGAGGAGAGAGAGGAGGAGAGCAAAGGAAAAGGAAGAAAAATAAAGGAAAATTAGGGACTGGCTGGAAATCCAGCTGCAAACAATGCTTCTGGGCCGTCAGTGTCCCTTCACTCAGGCACTCTGCTGCCACTTGGCTGTTCGTCTGTGTGAAGTGTCCTGCCACAGATACACACTCACGCACGTAAGTGCACGCAGTGTGCACAGGTATGTGGGTCTGCTCTGCCCTTTCCAGTCTTTGCTCACTCTGTCACTTCCCTCTACCACCCGCTGAGAATTCATCAGCCTGCCCCACATGGGGCTTGCATGTCCCTGCTCGCTGCCACTCATAGGCCAGCAGTGTTCTTCAGACTCTGAGCCTGCTTCTTGATCACCTCATTCCCTCCTCATCAGGATACCAGCCACATTAGGCTGGCTGGTTCTGTTTTTTAAAATTACATTTATTTATTTGGCTTATGCGTGTGGTATCCAAGTGTGTGGTGTGGAATGTGTGTTTGTATATGTTGGGGTATGTGTGGTGGTGGTGGTAATTGTGTGTGTGTAGTATGAGGTATGTGTGGTGGTGTGTGTGTGTGTGTGTGTGTGTGTGTGGTGTGTGTGTGTGTGTGTGTGTGTGTGTGGTGTAAGGTGTGTGTGTGGTATAAAGTGTGTGTGTGTGTGTGTGGTGTAAGGTATGTTTGTGGTATAAAGT